TATTATGTAACATTATACAAGAGTATATTTCTAACTTAATAGGCAGCACATTCTCTTTTCTTTAAAGCTACAAAGGTTTTATCTTTAAAACTTTTCTTTCAATGTGAAAAAAGGCAGATGCCAAGTAAAAAGTGAGATCACAGGTCTAATGTGAAATTTGGATGCAAACTATCATTTGACATTTAGAATTCACATATACCAGTATCATTTCCTGTTGCCAATACAAACAAAGGCAGCAGATATGTAGGCATACTTTTAAAGATAAAGGGCATTTTTTAAAAGTTTGACCTTGGATAAGTGATCAAAGGTCGAAGATAACATGGTATTTAGAATCCCCATATGCCAATATGTAGTCAGTACAACATATTGTCATATAGGGGTTAAGGAGCAGAGATGAGTATATGGGTTACACGAAAAACTTTGACCATGTGACCCCACTCTACACTCCTACAACACTTCCAAAAATGGAATCTCCTTGGTGGATGTTTAAAAAAATGGAAACATTGAAGGGAAACAATAAAAAAGAAAACAATGTTGTTTAATCATTGCAAAAAGATAATCGTGGCAACAAGTTTCAGGTTCCTTAAAAGATATATCAACAGGCAAAGAATGAGGAAGCAACTCTGCAAGTCACTAAAACATCTGTCTACTTACATATCCTGTTAGTGGCATAGACTTTTAAGGTTAGTTTGCCAATGTGGTTTAAACATCTACAAAGACTGCCTGCATCTCTAATTTACTTGTCCTGAATGGTAGAACATCAGAGCAGATAAACAGGAGATGAGTATTAATAAAGCTGACCTTAAAAAGAAAATACAGTCAGTGAGCACCCTGTGCGTTATTAAGTAGAGGCAACTTTGAGTTCACTATGACCTTAGTTCCCATCCACTGAGATACATTTAAACAGTGATCAGCTGATAAAGAATAGATGATTAGTCAACTAGCTGTGACTCACCAGTGCAACTAAGCTCACGATGCTTATGTTGAAACTGACGTTCTGCAGTGAATTCATTAAACGCTGAGGATCTGTCCAACGGATCGTGAGTAACCAGGCAGAAACATACATTATTGGAGCTGAGAGGAAAGTGCTGATCACCATCCCAGCAGTTACCTGTCAGGAATCAGAACAAAGAAAGCATGCACAGTGAGTTAGAGAGAGAAAGTACAAGGTAGATGGTATGTTGGCAGGAAGCTGTAAAGAACTCACAACTTCTAGCTCTGCGTTATAATAAACGGCATAGATGGCCACACTCGGTGCAGTGGGAAACACTCCATAAAGAAAGGCGTAATCAGAGAGGCTGGAGTGGTTCAAAGCGCTGGTGTTGCGTTTGTCCAACAGATCCACCATGTCCTTACAAATCAGGGGCATTAGTAACCTGAAAGCCAAATCAAGTCATGTACCATTACCTGAAGCTTTATTTAACACTGATGTGAAATGCAGTGTAACTATACAAACTTTACATGCACTGACTAGCATGCTGTGCCTGAGACTACTTAATATGTCATCTATTTGATAACAGCTTTTGGTCAGAGAAAGGTCTGACTCATCTAAAGCATCAGCACAAAACAACATGGTGGGAGCACTTTGAAAAGCCTGAACATGCTGACTCTCTCTAAACTTCCATAGTACACCTCATAAAAATAAGACAAGGTTGTCTGATAACACTAATATCGCCCTCTTCTAGAAAATCAAGTGCAATAAAAATCTAAATTACTTCCACTCACAGTTTTGCTGTAGTAAGTAATATCAGTGTCACCACTGTAGATTTGGTTAATTTCCCCAACTGGCCCACCATGGACAGGCCCAGGTAGAACAGAGCTGCTCCCCCGAAAGAGTTAGCCAAGCCATCCACAAACTGAGCCATGAAGACGGGAACGGTTTGGTGCAGCACAAAGTGGGCAATGATGCCGATAACAACCATAAATACTATGGGGTTCTTTATGACCTGTAAAACTACAACTCCCACAATCACTACTTTGCTCTGTTGATGGTTCCCCTGATCCTTCCACTTCTGGATCTCACAGAGGGCAAAGCCGATGGGATTGAGAAACATCAGGGACACAGGCGCCACCAGGTAGATATACTGGAGGTACTCTGGATATGTACTCTGGTACAGGGCTTCAACTGTGGATGAAGATAAAGCAAAAAAAGAAAATGATTAAGAAATGTGTAAAAGGTTTAAAACAAAACCGAGCTGGATACCTACAAAATGTAATACAGTAGTTTGTAGTAAAATAAAGAAATGTAAGTGTGCTGCATCATGAACAGGTGATCATAACTCCTATCACTGCAATAGCTTGATTCTATTTCAGACTTTAAGCATAAAGCAGAAAATCAGGCTTAATCTGAAACATCCCAGAAGGAAGACAGTGGATGGAAGTGCTGAAGTGAGTGCAAAACAAAAAGCATCTCTGGCCACGTAAACATTATATAATTAAATATTAAAGATATACAGTTAATGCTAGTCAGTTAATTTGAACTTAAATTGACTTTTTCAACTGGGTGCAGTTTTGATTCACATTATATCTACCACTCTATTTATTTATTTATGGATGAACTTGATGTGAATAAAAGAAAAGCCGCAAAAGCAATGATATCAAAATCTGTTTGCTAACAAATAATAAAATCCTGGGGAACTGAACTCTGAGTATGATGGATGGGCAAACAATGGGACAGCATGTTTACACGTCACAGCTCTGAATGACAAGCTTTGTGTTTGCTGGGATTAAAAGTTACTTACCTATAGGGTATCCCAAAGCAAAATCATTGCTTTGGGTAGCAAAAATTGAGAAGAGCCCAGCCTTACTGTAGCGACTGACGGGGCTGGCTACTATCAATGTGAGGATGCAGACGAGGAAGAACACGCACACTTTGGCGATGAGGATGCTCCAGAGAAACGGCCAGATGACATTACCAAAGTCCAGCAGCACCATGTTCTTGAACAGCAGTGCTGGGAGAGCAAACTTGGAAACAAAACTCCCCAATCCTTTGGCCTGGGTGGAGGTGATAATGTTTGCCCTCCCTGCGATGTACCCGCACAAAATGATCCCAAAGCATTCCAGGAGAGCCGGGAAGAGCCTGTCGATGGACATGCTGGAGGAGAGGGCAGAGGAGTCCAGCTCCTCAGATGAAAAGTTGAAGCTGCGGCTTCTTTCCGGTGCCTCCATCATTATGTTGACCCTCCCTCTGCCGCCAGCTGTCATGTCTGGTTTGCGGTAACGTTAATCCCCTCCTCCTCACCGGTCGGCACTGTCAGTCACTAGGGACACCGAGGAAAACTTTCCCTTATAACCTTTAAAATCACTGGTTCAGCTGTAATCTCATTACACACGTAGAGCTAACTACGTCAATTAACCGAAATAATATCGTATATTAACAAGACTGATTTTAGAGAGGTTTTAACGTTGTTTACACGTAGTTAAAAATCACTGCAACCGATATAACTTGTATATATCTTTTTAATAATGCAGTCTCACCTGTCTGGCAGCGGTTGAGCACCCATGCGCTAGTCATATTTAGGTAGCCGTCAGAGTTAGCCAGCGAGCTAACGTGAAGCTGGAGGCAGATACTAATCAGAGCTTCTTACCGATCCAAACTTCGCCTTCCACCTTTACTAACTTCTTAAAAATAACTTGACACTAGCGCTCTTCTTACTGTTACGTGACCGCGTTGCTTAATATCCAACCCACAAGTTTCATTAGCCATGATTTGTCAACACATCTCAACCAATCACTTTTCAAGATAGTGAAAAGAGGCGTGGCGTAGCGCCTTCTTTCTATCCTTTTCGAAAACAACGTAAATACGTATAAGAGACGAAAGATGGCATAACTATGACCACTTACTTCCGCAGTGCTGACAGACAGGCTTGAAGGATGCATTTTAACCCAAACATAAACTTAGTAAAAGTTTAGTTTACCAGACGCCTACCTAAATTGAAACTACTTAAAAAATTTAAAGTCTGGAAAGCCCCTGTACGGGGAAATTCAACCGCCACCTCACAACAGCCAAGTATGGTAGAGTATCGTCTACAAGTCACTTGACCAATCATCGCTACGAAAGACTGAAGACTGTCTTAAATGACTAAAAAGCATTTAAATGCTAATTTTCAATTAAGCAAAAGTTTTGTGAAAAGGGTGTATCTGCATGTTATGCCAAATTATAGTTTTAAAAAGGCTTTAATCTAAAAATGACTAGAACCACAGTTATCATAAAAATGATGACAGTGATGGAAAATGTTAACATTCAGCCCATCTCACGTGCTGAATGGAAGGATCCTGTTTTGTCTCCATATAATCGTTTAATACAAGATATACTTAACTGTACGAGTTATCTTTTGCATGAAATGTTCTGTCTTCTGTGATCATAAATCTTTCTGTGTTATTTGTTATTCTTGGTCACGAGCTATGCAGACTTTTGTTGCAGTTGCATGTTAGTCAGAATGGTGAGTGTGGTTCAAGCTGTCAGGAAGGTAGATATAACTAAAACTATCCCTTGTAACAACCAAGGTATGTAGAAAAGCGTCTCTGAATGCACAATACATTGAACCCTGAACCAGATGAGAGCCATTCCTTTCAGCTAAAACACTGTAAAACATGCAGGTGAAAAATCTGCACCAACTGTGTGACGCTGTCATGTCAACATGAACCAGAATCACTTAGGATTGTTTCCAGCACCTTGCTGTGGACCCAGTACTAGCAAATTGTAAAGCAAGGAACAGGGGAGAACAACATCTCTAGTATTACATTCAAATGAGCACAAAGCATGGCAGTATCATTTATCTGGGATGTGGGAGTATATCAGGGAAATTAAAATGTTGATATACTCTCCCAAGCATCTTAACTGTGGAGTGCACATTTTATACAACCTATAAAACCCAGAAATACCACAAATTTAGTGTCCTGTGTGCCCACAGAGTTAAGTAAAAAAAGTTAGCTAATGCCTGTGTCACATGCACCTGTCAAATAACTGCTGTGAACTGAGGAGCCAAGAGCTAAGTAAGCATGTAAAAGCACATTACAAGTAAAAGTGGGCAGGTACAGAATCTGCATTAATATTTGAATTTCAAATAGAGAGCCGACATAAGGTGTACAGTGTAAACAGTGACGTGGGAAACAAAAGGCAGAAGTGCTTCAGAAAAATAAGTCTGACTTATAATAGTGACACGATTATAAATCAGACCCTCGTGCTTTAAACTTAGGCACAATTAACACAATTACCAGCTATAATTAGATTATAGCTTTTATGATTCTAACATGTACCATTTGATATTAAAGACATTCAAATATGCTCCAGAAGTTGTCAGTCTGCCGTGTGCTGCTACGTACATTAGCTAGAACTGGATTCTTTTTTCCTAATCTCTATGTTTACCCTGGAAGGTGTAGGTCAGAATTTTCATATTTTTAGTGGTATGAAGCACGTGCCAGTGCTCTTGTATCAGGACAATAGAACAGAATAAAGCAAGGAGCTGCAGGAAGGAGGCTATCAATTTTAATCTGTTTTTCTGCTTATTGCGCTATAAAGTCTACCCTTCAGTCATATCTCACCTTGTAACAGGACAAAACAATTTTATTCAGCTGTACAGTATAAAGGTGTCAAGCAAAGCTTCACAATATTACACAACATTAGATTTATGTCCAGTTGCACACATGTTCCTGTCCATACACATAAGGGAAAAAGTAACTCTGTCAAAATATGTTGAATATAAATATGAAAATACTGCAAATCACATGTTCTTACAGGATACAATTGTTCACACTCCAAAAACAAACAACAAGAGAAAGGCAGAACAAGCTGTAAATGCTGTCAGGTCTGTACAGGAGCTTCAAAAAACAAAGGTGAATGTGATCACCTGAGAAGTGTAGCTGGTAGAATACAAAGGATGGGTCTTTAAAGCATACTCAGCTCAATGAGGCGGCCTGCGAACACCGCTAATGTGCCAATTAGACACACAGCCATAAAGACACAAAGCAGAATGTGATCCAACACCATGGCCACAAACTTCCACTCTTCAGCAGCCTGGAAAAAAAAAACATTAGAGAAAATGTATCAATTGCAGGACTCTAGATGGGATTTTAGCAACATATTAGCAAAAAATTTTATTATAAGGATGGTTACACTGCTGGATTCCTCATCTGATTTCATGGTTTCTGCGATGTATTTAACCCCATCAATGGCACTGCGCACATCAGGATTCTTTGTGATGGGTGAGTAGTAGGGAACAGCAGAGGCCTGGTTTCCAGAGATATCTGAGATATCAAAATCAGCACCATAGATGGTTTTTATCTGCTTTTCCTTTCCCGGGCGTTTCATTGTTGAGAAGAACATGATGTTGGGAATGGTTTCGATAAAAACCTATCATGAAGGAGACGACAAATGTGTCAGTGAGTGTACAATGCCAGAAAAGATGGATAAAGAAGAAAAAAAAAACATTTTAAGTCTGTTACCACTAGATGGCAATATAATGCAGGAGAAAAACTCAAGCTTGCCTCGCTTGAGCAAATCTACTCCTTTAGTTATTCAGCTCCACTATCAAAATGTAGTCTTTTGCTTTCTTGTGCTCACCTTGCGGACCCAGTTTGGCATTGTGTGAGTGCTCGGGGAGCGGTGGTGGGTGTTGATAACAATGACAGTGATGATGATGGATGCAATGACAAACACCATGGTGAAGAGCATGTACTTCCCAATGAGTGGTACAGCGCTAGAGGTAGACGGGATCAGCTCCACAATGACCAGCAGGAACACAGTCAGAGACAACAGGACAGAGATGCTGAGGGTCATCTTCTCACCTGGAAGACACCATTATAACCATTCACTCTTTCTTAGTTTGTGTAAAAATCCGCATGAGGTATAAAAATTCAAACACAGTCAGCTGTGTAAATATTTCTGGTCATGTGACAATAGGGACTTATTAACCAAAGAACATAAAATTGGCTATTAAATAATTTCAGTTCAAATTCCATTTCGCAGTATGCAGTTTTGATCAGAACATGATACGTAGATGTTCATCTGATCTTTTTTTTCTCTTGTTTACGATTCTTGACCTCTTCAGTAGTCTAAAAATAATCCAAATAAAAAGAAAAAAGAAAGAAAATAACGTAATTACATTCTTAGGAACTACGATGGTAAATGTAGGACACCATGTTTATGCCATTAATAATCCCCGATACACTGAAGGGCTGATAACATGTTTAGACCATAACTTGACCTGAAAAACATGAAGGTATCGGTGCAAATGTCGTGCAGATTAAACTGCATGAACATGCAATCTTATTAAACTGCCACCAGGGAGGGCTGTTTCCTGAATTCCATCAACTAACTTTGATTTGAATTTATACAGCAGCACATTTGCATCGTTCAACCAAATAACCAAATCAAATCCAAACAGTGATAGGCTACTTTTTTCCTCTTTCATAAAGCCAGGAGTATAAAGAGATTTTGACACCATTTCACATGAGTAAAATGTGAGACATGTTCCTTTTTTTGGGGTTTGTTTTTGTTGTTGCTCAGTAAGAGCATTTATCCCAGGGAGGGCATCTTTTTTGGCACTAGCATCTCCTCCTCCTGTCAGCAGCCATATCAGAAACAGGGATCAAGTGATGTATTATACATTAAAGCAAAGGCCTGCTTTCAGACATGACAGCACAGAGGGACTCTGGGTAATGAAGCAGACCGACACACTGGGAACATGGCCAGATGTGCACATAAGCTGTGCAGTTCCTGAAAAAGCCAGTGTAGAGACACTTTGGACTGACAGGCAGCATTTAAGGATTTTTCCAAAACGGTTTCAGTTGATATCATAATAGGAAAGCCAAATAGTGGCCATGGTCTAATTTTGACAATTTACATCGTTTGCATATATGTACACATACACAGGAAACAGTAAAAGAGCTGGCTTTGTTTGAAGCTCAAGCAAATGTACTTAAACAGATTTGAAAAACGTGATTAAATAACATTTTAAATGTTTCCTTTTCTAAACAGATTTTTTTTAGGTGAAAATTGCAATTGTCTATGCAATTTTAAGGTTTTAAGGTTACTGAGGTTTTACAAGTACTAGTAGATGGAGTTTGTTACCTTTGGACATGTTATACATAGCTTAGCTTGTAGACTTTATTCTAAGCTAGCTATCTGGCTGTTCCTTCCAGACATGAAAGTGGCATAAATCTTTCTGTCAGCCTCTTGAAAGGAAACAACATACCATTTTTCCAAAGAGGCTGAAGTATTGGCTCGCAGGTAATGATTCCCTTTGAAAATATTTGAAAAGCATACAACAAAAGCAAAGCTCGAGATAAATCTAGTACTATATTTGTCAAGATTGTGAGAAACTTCCTCAAGTATATTAATGTATATTAGTATATCAAATAATAATTATGGTTTATATCTTTTTTAGTGAGAGGATGTGTTTAAAACTTTCTGTATATTATGATCTATGATAGATGTTTTATTGTTTGGTTTACATTTTTCAGTGTAAACATACCAGAATCCGTGGGAAGATAAAAGACAAGGCCAGTGAGGAAGGAAAAGAGCATGCACGGGATGATGACATTAACAATGAAGTACAGAGGAAGCCGCAGCATGAGGAAATGGTAGGTGATGTCCAGGTAGGGGGTGTCTTGGCAGCAGGCGTAGTACACCCAGTGCTTCCAGCCACGGAAATCCTTCATCACCCATTCTCCGCTTTCCATAAAGTGGCTCAGATCTGGGCGGTCACTGTCCTGTCA